GGGCCTCTTCCTCCAAAACAGAAAGCCACTAACAGTGTTCTGAATCTCCGCACTGATACACTCCATTTGGGGCTTCGTTAATGGCAATTTCTAGGTTTGGAGGATAAAAATTCAAAAGGAACAACGCATATTTATGTCTGTAGACACGCCACTTTTGAAATGCCCATTCTACACCGGGAGGCAAAGAGACTAAACCCCTGTGTCCTAAGTGAAATCCTCCCAATTGAGCTGTTGACAGATGGGAATGGGGTGGCAGAGCAGCTTGCCGGCCTCTGCACCACGCCCCTCCCTCTGCAGCAAAGCTGCCAGTCAACATGCGCCACCCACTCCCGGGGCACACAGCCCTGCCAAGCAGAAGGCAGGTTGGCTGGGGACACCGAAGCTCACAACTGCAAGTCCACACTAGCTGCTGAACACGCCAGACCCTCTGTGAACACTGCGGGCCATCGAGTGACCCCCTAAAGAAAACAGCACAGAGCAGGACACAGCAGGCGACACGGAGAAGGCATTGGAAGAACGGAAGGGATTAAAATCAGAGTTGTAATTACATGAACACATACGCTAGATGATATCCCGTCCATCAAATAACAACAGCGCTGCAGGAAAACAGCAACCAATGCAGGAGTGAGTGAGAAGCATGAAGACTGTGGCCAAACAAAGGGTTAATTGCAAATGAAATGAATTCTAGGATGAGGAAGAATTAGCATAGCATAATTATTCTGGGATTTAAATCTGGTGAGATGTCTCAGACTGCAGAATAAAAAGACAAGCTTGTTTAAATAGACGTGCAGCTTAGGAGGCATGGAATGTCAGCTGAGTATAACCAAATCCAATTAATAGACTACAGGCCATGACAAAGAGATACAGGCGATTAGAGAGACAGAGAAAGGAAGGATGACAGAAAATGAGATAGAAAGAGGAACAAAGAGAAAGGATCAAGGGAGAAAGGAAAAAATGTTAAGAATTCTTTATCTGGAAAACCCCCCTCAAAATATTTTTTGCAAATAACAAAAACTGAGATTTTTGTCAACAGACGGTCTACCACACAGTAAAAAACAAAACAAATAAAATATTAAGTGGCATCATTTGGATTGAAATGGAGACAGTGGAGAGTAGCTCAAATTCATATAAAAATATCAGAACCAGCCTGAGAGCTATTGTGGATGGAGCTTTTGCAGGTACAACAGGAAACTCCAGGGCCACCAGTCACTGGGTGGGCTACTTGGTGCTCAGACCCAGGATGTCATCCACGGGGACCTGGTACCATGGGAGAGCTACTCCAATCTTGCTTCCAAAGTCCCACTGGGGACTACTCCTTCTGGTGGAGGCAGGGAGTTGAGTCCACTGCATCGGTAGATAGGATTTCAATCTGCGGGAGGCATTGACTGCCAAATACAAGAAACAAGACGGAATCACATCTGACTAAGACGATGTCTTCCCAGTTCTGGAGGAGCCACAGACAAAAGGCTGAGAGAGCTTCATGATCTGTACTAGCTGAGACACTGGACTATGGGGGAGGGCGGGGCCTGAGCTTGGGAGTTGATGGCAAATGTCGTTCAAGAAACTCAGCCCTAACACACAGCCTATTACCATAACAAGGTTGGCAGTTGAGAAGCATGGACAGGGCAAACTGAGCAATGTGGACCAGTATTGTGGGTTGGCACTGTGTACCAGGTATGTGTGTCAACAGTGAGGCCCAGCAGTGTGGTCCAGCAGCAGATGTCACAGAAAGTGGACAGGTGCCACACAGAATAATTCCCTCCCCCACCACCTTTGAAAGAAGTAAGGACCCAAATGTCTATGTTTGGGGTTTGTGAGGCCAAAGTCAATTATGTCCTGAAGAAATGTTCAGAGGTAGAAAACGTACCCCCCTCCCCCTGTGGTGCTGCCAGCCCAATTGAGGACAACACAGAAAAGAGTTGAATTCATTAAAACACGTGTGTTCCTGATACTGATCCGACCCTCATACTGTCCTCAGCAGGGAAGGTGGGGGCGCATGTGTAGTAAATGCTAAATGATGAAAATATTCTGGGACATAGAAGTGTACCAAAAACTGTTGTTCATTCACCCTGGTGAATATTATGGTATGTAATTTATATTTCAATTTTAAAGTATGGTCCAACTATTTCAACCATGATACATTTTGAGAAAATTATCTTTTGATTCATGGTAAACTTGAGATGGATTATAGAGGATGTGTGAAAGATTAAGTCACTGAAAGTAGAACTCAACACAAAATAGACTGTATTTAAAAACTGTAAAAGAAATTGATAGCTTACTCTATTATAGTGTAAAACTTCTGCATACCAATGTCATAGCAGAAATACATGAAAAAGTGGTATATAAAAGGAAAATATCTGTACCATGTGACAATGGCCTAAGATCCAGAATATATAAGAGTACACTATCCAAAACGGCAAATCAACCAACAAATGGACTAAATGATAGGAAACATTTTAGAATTCACCTAAGAAGAAATATCAACATCTTATATGTGTCTGAACACCATAGCCAAGATCAATACTAACACAGAACCTCAAAACAAACAGTGACAAGCAGTGAGATGTTCCCAAGTGTGCTCCAGTATGTGGGAGGGAGGCTTTCATGAAGACATACAAAAATGACACTCCTGTGGACCAGCAGGTGCAAAGATAAATTGATGCAATCCTTCAGAAGAAAACTTTGGCAGCATATTTCAAAGTCTACATATGTAAGCCCAGGAATTTCAAGTCTAAATAAAACCAGGGGTAGAGGGAGGACACGTACAAAGAAGCTGAAGAAGGGTGTGAGCTGAGATAGATCCATGTCTATCGCCATGAACAACACTTAAGTCCAAAAGGCTCAGAGGCCTCAACATAAATGCAGTCTTCCTGAGCATAACACCCGTAGCACAGACCCTGAGATCGACAGTTAATAAATGGGATGGAACTAGAAGAAACCATCCTGAGGGAGGTAACCCAGACACAGAAAGAAACACATAGTACGTACTCTCTCTCATAAGTGGATATTAGACCAAGAGCAAAGACTAACCAGCCTACAATCCACAATCCCAGAGAAGCTAGGAAACAAGGAGGACCTAAGAGAGACACACTTGGTCCCCCGGAGAAGGGGAAAGGGACAAGATCTCCTGAGCAAATTGGGAGCATGGGAGAGGCGGGAGGGAGGTAGGAGAGAGATGAAGGGAGAGAAGGGGAGTGGGGAGGGGAACATGAGGGATCAGGAAGGTGGAGTTGGGGGAAGGACAGAGAAGGAGAGCACAGAAAGAGATACCTTGAGAGAGGGAGCCACTATGGGCTTAACAAGAAACCTGGTGCTAGGGAGATTCCCAGGGATCCACAAGGATAACCCAGACTTAGAATCTGAGCAATACTGGAGAGGCTACCTTAAATATCCTTCCCTATAATGAGACTGATGACTACCTTAAATGCTATCATAGAGCCTTCATCCAGTAGCTGATGGAAGCAGAAGCAAACACCCACAGCTAAGCACTGAGCCAAACTCCTGGAATTGAGTTGTAGAGAGGGAGGAGTGATGAGCAAAAGGGTCAAGACCATGCTGAGGAAACACACAGATACAGCTGACCTGAGCAAGTGGGAGATCACGGACCCCAAACTGACAGCTGGGGAACCAGCTTAAGACCGAAGTATGCCCCCTGAATGTGGGGGTCACTTGGGGGGGCTTGGACAGTCTATGGGGCTGCAGGGAGGGTAACCAAGATTTTTCCTTAGTGCATGAACTGGATTGTTGGAGCCCATTCCCTATGGAGGGATACTCTCTCATTGTAGATACAGGGGGGAGGGCCTTGGTCCTGCTCCAAATGATGTGACAGACCTTGATGATCCCCCATGGGTGGCCTCACCCTCTCTGAGGAGTGGATGGGGGTTGGGATGGGGAGATGGTGGGAGCAGTGGGAGAATGGGAGGGAGAGGAAACTGGAATTGGTATGTAAAATAAGATTGTTTTTAATTAAAATTTTAAAAATTAATTAAAAAATAAATATGTACTTTAAATATTCCTAGGGTGGGATACCATGCCTGGTGGCAGTAGGACCACAATATAAACCTGGTACATGAGCTAGCTTGTTGGAGCCCACTCCCTGTGGAGGGAGGCCATGCTCAGACTTAATGCATGGGAGAAGGGCCTGGCCCTGACCAAAACTATTGTGCCAGACTATGATGACTCCTCATGGGGGCCCCAACCCTTGAGGAGGAGTGGACTGGGGGTGGGCTGGGGGGAGGTAAGGGGGTGGGAGGAAGCGAGGGGATGGAAGTAGGGGTGGGAGGGAGAACTGTGGGTGGAATGAAAAATGAAGAAAAAGATAAGGGTGCACACTGTCTCCAGTAAAGCACAGGGATCCTCAAGCGTCCATCTGCAGACAAATGCCTAGCTAACCACCTCCCCATTTATGGCACCGCACAGCCTCCGGTCCCTTTGCCTGAACATCAAGACAGCAAGGTAGAAATTAATTTTCAAAGTACTAATCATAAGGACCGGGGAGAAAGAGAGCTCAATGCCTGCTGGCAAACACGAGTTAGAGTCCCCAGAACCCAAAATGTGGAAGGAGAGAACCTACTCCAAGTGGTTCTTTGACATCCACACGAGGTCACACACACTCACACACACGCACGCACGCATACACACACGCACGCACACACACGCATGCACACACACACGCACACACACACGTGCATGCTGAAAAAACGTCAAGAATGATATATGCAGTATGGTCTGACAGAAAGAAAAACAAGAGAGAATGGTGTCATATATTCCAAGATGCCAACCACAGCAACCTCTAGCAAGGAGACTAAGCTAGGAAGGAATGAAATACATTTCTGCCTTTGAATTTACATATCGCTCCACTGTTTGAATTTTGTAAGAACTGGGATGAGCAATATTTATGTAAAATGTAATTTTAAAATGTACTTTTTGTATCTACAATACTGTATAAAGCTACTTTCAAGTTTTTCTTTACCTCATGAGCAAAACAGGAAAATTCTTACCTTCCAAATTTTCAATCCTTTCAATGTTGTTTAGTGCTAAATTCAAATATTCAAGTTTCTTGAGTTTGCCAACATTTTCTGAAATACAGATAATACAATTAATTAGCCTTCAAGGGAGACGACTACTTCATAACTTATCGTGAAGATGACACAGAGAAACACAGGGGAACATGTGGCTAGCGGCTGGCTTTTCAGATCTCTACTATCTTAGTCGTCATTTCTCTTGCTGTGCTAAATCATCGTGAGCAAAAGCAACCTGGGGAGGAAAGGGTGGCTCTTCCAGGTAGCACTCCTACACTGAGGGAAATCTGGGCAGACACTCAAGGCATGAAACCCAAGGCAGCAGCAAAGACGGAGCCACGGAGGATGCTGCCTACTGAGATCCTCCCCGTTGCTGGTGTTGCTTGTTACCTTAGATCACCCGGGACCACCCGCCCAAGAGTGGGCCACCCACCACCCACGGTGATCTAGACCCTCCCATATCAATCATCAATCAAGAAGATGCACCAAAGTCTTGCCACGGGCCAATCTGCTGGGGAAATGTTCTCAGTTGAGGCTCCCTCTTCCCAAATGACTCCAGCTCATGTCAAGTTGACATGAAACTGGACAGCACACTGTACAATAGACACTAGGTTGCTGCAACGTTTTCTTCTCTTCCTCCCTTCTTAAGAGCCCCGATGTTCGCTCATGTCTCCACCCATCTCCAGCCTCACTGGGCTACATTTAGGAAAGCTAGTCGGGGCGTAATACTCGGTATTTCCTGTTCAGTTTCGAAGGAACAGAACCCTGGGTTAAATTAACCAATGCAGAGCATCTCCTGGTAGTCACGTGCTGTAGGAAAGGACACGCATCGCAAGTATTCAGTCAGTCAGGCAAAAACGTAATGCTCTCTGCCTGTCTCTTTTTACTACTAGATGGAAACGATATGCCGTACAGTGCTGAAGTTTGGTCATGAGGGAATTGCCTGTGAGTAGTGTCTACCCTGTGGCAGGGGAACAGAGAAAAGCAATCCACTGCTTCTGGAGTCCCCTTTATCTTGACAGAATAATAAGTTTCAGGACCCTTAAGCCATGGGGAATGGGATTTCCTTTACTTAAAGCCAAAATTAACCTGACAGGGGATTATCTTTTTAAATAAATCTGGAAGGCCACTCACACAAAATAAGCATGAGCTAGTCAAGGAATCACTGTGGATTAAGTGTCTGTAAAACAGCTGATGATAAGACACAGCTAACTGTTTTGTATATGCCATATTATATCCTAGACTTATCGCCTCTATTACATTTTAAAAACCATTTGATTGCATTTATGTATTTTGTGTATATATGTGGGTATGGGTAAATGTACCGTAGGATGAGCGTGGGCATCAAAAGACAGCTTGTGGGAGTCAGATTATCTTCCTCCAACATGTGCATCCTGGAGTTTGAGTCCAGGTCATCATGCTTGAAGGCAACCCTCTGAACCATCTCACGGGCTATATGGTTTCCTATTTGGTCCTAACAAACATTCCATGAGGTAAAAAATTATTGCCATCTCTTTCTTTTCAAATGAGAATGCCCATATGTAGAGAGAATCCATGCATATGTCCAAAGGGAAATGGTAGAGCCAAAAGAATTTGATTCCCAAGATGGGCACTAAAAGAATAATTTTTAAGACAAAAAAAGATGACATCCCTGTGACAACATGCGTATTTTGGGCAGCCTCATCGAAGCTCAGAGATGTTATGAATAGCAAGCATGACTTCCTAGCATCGCACTGAGCACTACTCCGAGTTCGTCTATACATAAATCGTATCTCTAGCCTCAGAGATCTGAGAACAGCAGCATTAGTCCTCGGGGCCTCAAGTCCACTCTTTTGTAAGATGAGACTCTGAAGATGAATTAATCTTCTCTCAGTAATTAAATTATCCAACCAGCACTAATGTTTACAAAAGGGTCTCCAGCAACATCTGAGCATCCAGGCGTCAACATGTTTGGAGGTTTCTCTGTGCCAAGAATCGGGAAAGGCAGAGTCTGTCTGTATCCTGGACAGACATGCTCGGTCATTCCTGTTAAAGTTGCCATCCCGCAGGGGGATACCTGCTTTGCAAAGAGCTCTTCTTCCTGCCCTGGTTATTTGTGAGGCCCTCAAATGTTGGAGTCTCCCAGTGAAAACCCACACAAGAGTCATACAAGAAGAACTTCCTTGGTTAACACCCCCAAGAGACAGGGAATCAACCGGCCAGGAGAAAGACAAAGACTGTAAGTGAAAACTACACAGGCCCTCTCCAGCAGCCTGAAGGGGGTTTGAGAGCTCTAGCCCAAACCACTGTGGGAGCTGCTGTTACCAACTGCCACAGACAGGCCCACAGACTTCTGGTTAACCATGTCCCTTCACCCTTGAAAGATACGTGTGAGCCACCCCAACCCCCCTCTTTACAAGGCCCACAGGGGAGCTGTGGGGAGAGAGGATCACTGGCGGCTACACCTACAGGCTCTGCACTTTAGTGGAACCCCAGATGGTCATTGGCTCACACTTGCTTCATGGCTGAGCAGAGCCTTCCTCCCACGGTCCATCTGTCCCACCCAGTGAGCCAGGGAGCTCTAGGAAAGAAAGGCGGTTGCTTTGCAAACCTCCACCTCGATGGCAGGACAGCAGCATGCGTGGATCCCAGAGAAGCTCTTTTACTTGCTAAATACATGCCTAAGTGCCCATGGGTGGAGCAGCATTGAAAAATCCCAGTATTAGAATTTAAACGTGCTTAATTTAAGAATACTTCGGAAGCAAGAAATTAAGCTTTCTCACAGCTCTGAAAGGGCCTGAAATACTATGCTACTAATTAGTGATTGTGACGGACCCAGCTGTGGAGATGAAATTTTCGGGATCTCTTTGAGGTCCGCACAATCAGCATCGTTCTTCAAAGAGCCCAGTTCTCTCTAACCGCCTTTTTAATTGAACAGTGTGCCAGAGTTTCCAGTGCCTGGTAAGGCAAAAGACGCCAAGAATATTTATCTGGAGAAATACATAGTTTTACTAAATCTTCCAAAAGTGATGCAAATCTAGGATTTTTATAATCCTCGAGCCGATCTTTAATTACCCACCGAGCTGGAGGCACCCGTGCTGCTAGGGTTTCTTGGCCTCAGTAACATTCACATTTGAGCTGGATAATTCTTTGTCTGTGCAATCATGTCCCTGACCTCCTCTGGGTAGGGCCAGGAGTTTACACACCTCCAACACACACACACACACACACACACACACACACACACACACACACACACGCATCATAACCAAAACTGTCCATCCCTGTTGAGAATCACTGCACATACCTCGAAAGTTAACTGTAACCTCCACGCTGACCCCTGTACTCCCGTGGTGGCTCTCTCTATCTCCGCTCACTCCATCTGTTCCTCCAATTCTATTCACTTGTCCCTTCAGCCTCTGGCTTGGGCTGGCTACCCAAGACAGTCTGGCCTAAGGAGTGACATTAGTAGCTTGGCAGCTTTCACCCACTAAACTCTTACTTCACTGTAAGCACATTAATCCCTACAGCACCCCCATGCCATCCTGTACCCCTTATTAAATGGCTCTGCAGACCATCCTTGTACCTGTCACTTAATTCACTGTTAGGGCAAGGAGGGACTCAGGGGACAGGGAAAGACTAACTTGTCCAACAGGTAAATTGGGAGAAGAAACTGGGCATAGTATGTCTCTCCTTCCTTCCTCCCTCCCTCTCTTCCTTCCTTCCTCCCTCTCTTCCTTCCTTCCTCCCTCCCTCTCTTCCTTCCTCCCTCCCTTCCTTCCTTCCTCCCTCTTTCCCTCCCTCCCCTTCCTCTTTTCCCCTCCCTCCCTGTTCCTTCCTCCCTCCTTTCCTTCCTCCTTCCCTCCCACCCCTTCCTCTCTTTCCCTCCCTCCCTCCTTCCCTCTCTTCTCTTCTAAGGTATCCCTGCCAGAGAACACATGACCCAGTTCCCTCCTGCCACAAAGCACCGGACTGCTTGGTTGAGGAAAACTTGTGGGTGCTCAGCTTGGCCTGTAACCAAGAGGTTTACTCTAGGACAGTGCTAGCAAGTCTGTCTCCTCACTAGCCTCTGCTGCAATTCTGCAAATAGCTTTATCAGTGTGGTGGTTTCAGTAAGAACGGCCACCGCCATAGGCTCACACGGTTGACTAGTTGACCCTCAGGTGGTGGAACTGTTTGAGAAGGATGGGAGGGGCAGGCCGTGTGGTCTTGTTGGAGAGTGTGTCAGTGGGAATGGACTCCGAGGCTTCAAAAGTCCATGCCTTTCCCTGTGTCTCTCTCTACCGTGTAGTTACTGTCTGAACATGTAAGCGCTCAGCTTCTCCCCAGGCACCGTGCATGCCTACCTGCTGCCATACTCCTCGCCATGACAGTCCTGAACTAACGCTCTGAAACTGTGAGGAAGCCCCCAATGAACTGTTTCTTCCATAAGTTGCCCCGGCCATGGTGCCTCCTCACAGCATCGCAAAAGCAACTAAGATAATCAGTTAATACGCTAGCATTTTGATCATTGTTCACACGACTTCTGCATTCACCTGTCAACGCCATTCTAAACTAAAAGCACTTGGGAATACCAAACTGACCACAATACCCCATACTCAACAATGTGGCATAACTGGCTAACACAATCTGTGGGGATGTGGTATTTAAAAATATATACTTACTCTTCAGAGCAAGTTTATGTTCAGAGGAGAAACTTTGGTCAAAACTCACAGATATCACATACCCCAGTCCTTCCCTAACCAACTCCACGTCACTGGCTTCCATGCTTTACTGACATTCTATGCTAGAGTGGTAGACTCATCTCATTCGGCAAGCCTACTTTGACCTGTCACCACCCACACATTTACTGTTGATGATATGCATTCTGAGTATCTTGACACACATACAGCAGCACGTGACCACCCTCGTCTTCCAGGCCGTGACTTCATTACTTCTAGCTCCTAGAAACCACTGATCTTTTTGAAGCCTCTGTGGCTGTGTCTCTTTCCCTGTGGCCTTATTCAGCTATTTTCCAATGTGCTCCCACTAAGGAAGTCATGAAACAAATGAATGAGACTTACCAATTTTTCCAATGAGGTTATTTTGAAGGTAGAGAATTTTTAAATCTCGGCACCATTTGTCAATATGCTCCAGTCTTTCTATTTCCTGCTGATGCAAGGAGAGTTCCTCCAGGGAAAAAATGACACATTCGTTGTGCTCAGCATTACGTCTAATAAGATCTTCAGTGACTGAAAGAAATTTGCAGAATATTATATTCCCGTTTCCATTGTTCAGCATCGGGTTACTACATTATTAACAGGCTGGAGTTCTTTTTGCAACTAAGTGTTGATTCTTAGAGCCCAAGCAATTTTCACACAGTAAGATCAGACAAATTCTGCTTACTGCCCACTTCATGGAGTCTGCAAAGCCATGATGTGAGGGAAAGAAAAGAGACATAACAAAACCTTAAGTCTAGTTTATTTTTGAATGTGTATGATCTATATAAGTGTCGCACCTGCTGTGCAGCCTGCATCCGAGAATGTAGCGAGATGGTCGGGATAGATGACACAGAGACCGGTCGGTTGCTTTAAGAAAAACTTTATGCTTCCCAAGTCAGCTTTAGGAGGAGATTCCAAGTCCGCTTAGGAGAGAGAAGTCTCACCAAGAAAAAAAACGCTTCCCTTTTTAAGGACTTCTGCCATCCATCTACATACAATTCTTTCCAGACTTCTCACCCTCCTGGCTGGTGGTTTAATCTCCGGCCCCAGAATAGACACTGCAGGGGAACAGGAAGAGGCATCTAGCCGTAGGGGGTGTGAAAGTCCTGGTATCTCAGTGAGTAAGCCCTTATCTGAGCCCTATCAAGAGCTTTATAGCACTGAATTGTTTTCAGTTAACATTACACAGCTGCCTGCTCCCAGGCCGAAGGGGAAGTGGGTTTCTGCTCAAGGTCTGGTGTCCCCACATATAACTTGTACTGCATAGATGCAGGAAGAATTGACATCTGACAGCTGTAAGAATATGAACATAGGCTCTCCTGGTGGAACCAGACCAGACTGGTGAGATCCACTATTTGACTTAAGACAGAGCAACTGAGTCACAGTCTCACTGACAAAGGGCAGAACATAATAAATTTCTACAATCCAATAGGGAAGGTCACTCATCATTTAACCAATAATTGCTCATCTAGAACTTCAGAGGAAGAAAAGAACAACCCAGATTCTGATGGTGAGGGTGTAATGAGTTCACTAGACCCCAAATAAATGATAAATGGGTGTTTATTGAGGAACAATTGCACAGATAACAATAAAGAACCATGGGAGCCCCTCTCTGTCCTTCCTATCAGATCGGCTGACCCAAGAGAAAGAGACTGCACAAGAGAGACCATGCCTCACATGTCCCTCTTTCCACTTCCATCTGCCTGAAACCACACCCAAAGGGGTGTGGCCACCATGACAGATTCACCAGCAATATGCCTCTACAAGATTTTGAATCTTATACTGCAGATTTATAAAGTAGCTCTTACTTGCTGTGTTTTCTGGAGGAATAAAAGAGAGACAGAGACAGAGACAGAGAGAGGAAGGAAGGAAATGCTTATGGGAAAACCAAAAATGAGAGAGAGAGTTCCCATTCTCTCACAAAAAGTGATATGTAGCACTGACTGCCAAGACCCAAGTCAGGAGAATGTAATAACAATAGCACCAAGGGCATGGAGACAAGACCATGGTCTACTGTGGGATCGAGGAGCAAAATCATGAACCGTATTTATAAGTTGGGCTAGAAGCAAACAGGCAACAGTAATGGAGACATTCTGCATTTCAGGGTTAGTAAAAATGTTCTATTTGATCCCACCCTACATTTTCAACAGCATGTGTACATGAAGACGTGTTTTCCGTCATCTGTAGTGTACCAGGCACTAGTCTACGTGCTTTGAGTGATTTAAAGTAGTTTTCCCTCACCAGGAGAGGAACAGAAGCATGGAGTTCCCATAACCAGTTCAGGTCTTGGCTGTGGAAGCTAAGCCAGGTTTGAAATCAACAGCCCAACGGCAGATCACACCTCCATGCCATCCTCAAAAAAAAAGTTTTGCCGTTTTAAAAGACAGAGACAGGTATGAACTCACTGCTTGTTTGCAGAACTCTCTGCTCCTTCCAATGGGAGGGAGGAGATAGGGTAGCAAGAGAGGACACTTCCCTAGAATACCATGGGGAAGGGAGGTTGAGAGGCTGCAACACTGTGCGTGGTAAATTTTCATGCTGCTCTAAGAGCCACCCAAGCTGACAGGCAGAGGTGGCTGCAAACCCAGTCCTGGGAAAGAAGAACCAAAGATGGCAAAGGAGCCTTAGGGAGCATCCTGACCGGCCCTGGCTGGCTGGATCCTTCCACTATGTCTGGAATGTCACTGCTCATTCATAAGCCAGCTGGCATACACTATTTAATAAAAAGGACCAGAAAACAAAAGCAACCAATAATCTTCTTAGTAACTGAACATTAAAATGGGATATTAAACTTACCCTACACACACACACACACACACACACACACATACACACACACACGCACGCACGCACGCACCAAGGTGGGTTATTTTGTTTGTTTCTGTGTATTTGGGGGTTTGTTTTTTGTTTTGTTGTTGTTGTTGTTTTGTTCTTTGTGGTAGGGATCAAACCTGGGGCATCTGCCACTAGGCATGTGACTCATGGAGCTACCCCCTTTGTCCCTCATGTTTGCTCAATAACTTAAATGAACGGACAATGAGCAAGTAGTGATAGACAAGTAGAGAATATAACAAATCAGATGTATAAATTAAAATCATCACCTCCATCTGTAATCTACAAAAATTCTCTTAGCAAACATGCAGCTTATGGGTTGAGAAGCATGACCAATATTATCACAGCTACTTTCACGAGACACGAGAATTACCCACCACCACTGACTAGACTCTCAAATGCCTAATGGTGCATCTATGACTTAGACTACTAAATCTACATGAGAGGACGTGTTGTTGGAGGCCGTGCCACTAATAGATCTGGAGTCCATGAGCCAAGGAGATGTCCCCACCCAGAAATTATGCCCTCCCTTTAGACCATGCTTAGGGAGGGAACAATGAGATTCATTCCCCAATGAGTCCCAGGTCAGGCTATGCCACAAGGTTTGCATCCCCAAAGCCTACTGCTTCCAAGGAGCATCTGTTTGCCACATACACGGGTGACGTATAAGCTGGAGTGAGCGCGGGGTGGAGGGAGAACAGGGAATACATACAGGGAAGTAGAAAGTGAACCAGAGAGCCAGCTCCCCCGAGCCCCACACTCCAGCAAAGACCCACGGTGAGTCTGAAAAGATGCATTAAGTGTATCCTTGGGTTGCATGAAAATGTACTTCTCAGAGGAGGCATACATACTTCATTAAGCAGTTTGCTTTATAGCTCGATGGGCCACTCTTTATCCCGTCCCCCAAATGTGGTGGAGGCTTCAGTTGATATCCACATAAATGCATACCCTAACTAGTTTGAACACTGGGAGATGCCACCCAGGGTCAAGTCATATGTGCTCATGAGAACCCGTGCTGCATCTTAAGTATCTCCTGAGCATGTCCCAATATGCTTACTTCTGTAAGAGTTTTGAGGAACTCAGTAAAATTTAACAAAGCCAACAATTTAGCATTTATCTTTTAGGATTTGTTTATTTGCTGACCTGGGGGGTCTTATGTTGCAGCCTAGACTGCCTGGAACTCATTATGTAGTACAGGCTAGATTCAAACTCAAGGCAATCCTCCTGCTTCAGCCTCTCAAGTAGAGGCTGGGATTCTACCATCTCACCCAGATCATTCCTCTATGTTTCATTTCATGTTTTGAAAAGAGCTCTACCTTTCTTGCTGGACTACACTAGAATCAACCAATATGTTCACAGCAGATTTCACAGATTTTTCAAACACCTTGAAAAACCTTGCAAATACACATATGGGCATATATGTATAATATCTATATGAAATAAAATATATTTAATAGAAACACGAGACTACAAATATGTAGTTTACCTGTCACACGATCTAAATATTTTTCTGTTGAGAAGATAGCATTTCTAAGATAACACATGCTTCTTTTTCTTACAGACTTACTGGGCATCAGAATGCATACCAGTCCCTAATCCAGTGATACCTTTTAAGTGCCGTTGATGTGACTATAGTATCTAAAAAACACAAAGCACCATGACAAAAGAACTCAGAAAATGCGGTTTGTGCTACAGAGTCAAAGAAGGGAGGTCAAAAGAGGCTGCCCGGAGGAGAGGCCTGAACCTCGAAGTCTGTGTAGACGCTTGCCCCGCCCGCACATGAGGAGAGGGCATCCCAGGCCATCTTGGAAAACACAGGGTGTGGCTTGGATTCCCATTCAAAATTAACAGATTAATTCCGGCCGCTGCTCACCTTCCTTCCTTCTAGTTGCCTTAGCTGAGAAAACCAGCTAAGTGTCTGTTCTCAAAAGTCCAGAGTGGATGACTGGCTGGTAAGAGGCTGTGAGGTCCACTCAGTCTTCAATCTCAGCATGAACAAGTCAGAAAGTCCACTCCAAGCTTGGAACCCCTGGGGTTGAGTATTCCAGGCTCCCGTTATTCATCATGCCCAATCTGGATTCCCTGCCTATCTACCCCCCCAACAATGCCCCCAGAATAAATTCTAGCATGCTAAATGTGAAAATTCTGTTTCTTGGGAAGCCCAGCCTGAAAGCACTGACACCCAAAGCACCGGTGATCTACCGCCAAAATGGCGACATGGATACCACTACTGGTGGTCAGCGGGACTCGGGCAGTGCTGGGCCCACGGCTGCTGTCCGTTTGTTGAGAATTTGTCTGGGGCTGAGCAGTGATGGAGTATCAGTGGAAGGGAATGTGACCTATCGGCATGTCACTTAAAGGACAGTTGCACTGAAGAGTTCTGACTGAACACGACTGGCCACGGAAAGGGCGAGAGACCCTAATGGACTATTAAAAGCTAAGTGTGAAAATCCATAAGAAGGAAGGGAAAAATATAAAGAGGTTTTCACCTGAGAACTGTAGTTCAGAGAGAGCTGAGGACTGGGGACAGGCTAACCTATAAAAGAGTGACGGACTTCTGCTTCTAGGAATGATGAAGTCCTGGGTTAGGATTCACACTCCCAGACTCCACTAACTAAACTCCAGACATAATTTATGAAAGCATTAACTTTAAAACATCAGACATCAAGAAACAACAAAGCAAAGGTGTATTTTGAGTAGAAAGGCCTCATTGGAGACACGGGTAGGGCATTTCTGGGAGGGAAAATAGCATTGGATGTCTGTGGTAAGAAGAGTAGAGACATCAACTTCCAGTATATGTGGAAAAGGACAAATCAAATTCAAAATAGAACAAAGCAAATAATAAAGATTCTAACAGAAATCAAATGGCATAGAACTCAGGGGGGGGGAATCAATAAAAACTAAAGCCAGTGAATTGAGAAAATGAAATAATAAACATTAAAGGATACAGAGGATATTATAAATATCACTATGAGAATAAATTCAAGACTGTAGGTTAAATGGGTAAATTGACTGATGAGATGAAAACTACCAAGCTCTCTCAAGAAGACAAGGGTAGATTAAGGAGCTGTGCCTCAACTCAAGTAGCTAGGCATGGGGTAACAAGCCTTCTAGCAAAGAGAATTTGGGCACAGATGTTTCCACAGATAAATCCTACCAACCATTTAAGAAAAAATACACTTCTCTAAAGAACTCAAGGGAGAGCATGGGTATCCTAAATTTGCTTTGTGTTGATGTGATGAACACCATGGTCAAAAGGATTTATTTTTTCTTACAGGCCCCTGATCATATTCTGTCACTGAGGGAAGTCAGACCTGGAGCTTGACACAGGGACCCGAAGGTAGGAACTGAAGACACAGAGGAATGATGCTTACTAGCTAGCTTGCTTTCCATGGGCTGCTCAATGGGATTTCTCGCACAACCCAGGACTGCCAGAGTACAGGTGGTACTGTCCACGGTGCACTTGGGCATTCTCATGTCAAACATTAGTGGAGAATTTAGATACCCCCACAGAACTGCCAGCAGACCAATCAGACAGAGGCAATTCCTCAAGAGAGAACACTGATGGGGGGGGATCCTTCTGCATGCTGTGAATTTATGTTTCTCTTATTGGTTGATGAATAAAGCTGTTTTGGCCAATGGACAGGCAGGATGTAGCCAGGCTGGAAGTATAGTAGGGGCTACCAGACTAGGAGAATGCTGGGAGATAAATGCAGAGAATGCCATGTAGCTACTGGGAAGGTAGGACACCCGGGCATTCTCCAGTAAGACAAAGTCAGGTGCAAATACATAGATTAATAGAAATGGATTAATAATGAAGACAGAGCTAGCCAGTAAGAAGCCGACGCCATTGGCCAGAGAGTTTATAATTAATAGAAGCTTCTGTGTATTTATTTGGGACTGATCAGCCGTGGGACCATCTACAGAATACCTCTTCTCAGATTACCTCAACTCTGGCTTGCAATATGTTGGGCAATAAAAGCTAACCAGCACAGATGAGGAGAGCATGTATTAAAAACTCTCAAATCCAGGTCTGGTGGTTCTCAGCTGTGCCTCACCCACCTCCCCTAAAAATGGATAAGTTGGTCACTGTTCCCTGTCTTGGAACGTTGCTGAGACAGAAAAAAAAATGTGTGGAAAACATCTGAACCTGGCATGGCACATAAAAACACTTGTCATTTGTCTCACTGTCTGGATTTTAGTGAGGGCCACTCTCTTTCACCACTCCTACATGGCCACTTGGGTGCCCGAAGAAAGCCCTGCAGATGCTCGATTGAACATTTATAACAGTGACATCTTGCAGATTTCCAGAGCAGAAAGAAACCCACCATCATATTCTCATTCTCTCTGTCCTCTGTCCTCTCTCTGTCTCTGTCTGTCTCTGTCTCTCACTCTCTCTGTCTCTCACTCTCTCTGTCTCTGCCTCTGTCTCTCTCTCTCTGTCTCTCTCTCTCTCTCTCTCTCTCACACACACACACACACACTGCATCTATTTCTCCTTCCTCTCTCCATCCTTCCCTCTCCTCCTCCCTCCCAACCTCTTTCCTCTTTCGTCTCCATGAGGCTTCAAGTACAGTATCTTGATTAAAAATATTAATTATGGAGGATGAGGAGATACCTCGTATGGTAAGACAGAAGGCCATGGGTCCTGACTAACAGGAACCATTGTGGGGTATCTGTCCTGCATCCCAGCACAGGGGAGGCAGAGACAGGCAGATCATCCATCAACCAGAGCTAAACGGGTGAGCTCTGTTCCCAGTGAGAGATCCCCACTTTAAAAAAAATTAAGTGGAAAACAACTGAGGAAGACACCAATGCCCACCCCGACTCCACGTGCAATACATGTGCACACACGTGCACACACGCACCATACACACAAGTGTTATGACACTTTAACAATAACTGGTATGTAAATGCCATTTGTCAGCATCAAGCGTGTCTATATAATAAAACTTAGCTGTGGAACTGAGGACGCTGTGGCTGAAAGGTGAGGTCCCAGAGCAAAGCCATGGAGCTCTTGGGGTGGTCCTGGGGAAGGGCGTGTGCCAAACCTTGGCTCTGGCCCTGGTGGATGCTCTCCTGCATCAGGCAGCCGTGTCTGCCTTAGCGAGGGGGTGGCATTCCGATGGCGTGACCCAGGACTGCACAGCCTAACCAGCCATGTGCTGAGGGTGACCCACCAGGTCTTCCTGAACTCCCTCCCTCCGTGGCGCCCACTTCACAGACTGGCAGCAGGCGGAGCGCACGGCGAGCACCCGAGGGGACCTGAAGAGACTTAATGCCACCTAAAGGACTCGAAGGAACCTGACGGGACCCAAGGGCTCCTGGAAGGATTTAGGGGGAGCTGCGTGACAATGAGAGGTCATGGTGGGACTTCAGGGGTCCTAAGTGAATCCGAGAGGACCTGAGGGGTCTCCAGGGGACCCGAGGGCTCCTGAGCAGAACTCAGAGGGCCTGGCGCAGCTTGGGCACCCGGAGGCTGGTCCTGCCGGCGGGAGGAGGGGGATCTGGCTGCAAGTGGAGAGGGGCGCTGAGGGTTGGGGTCGCTTACTCAGGCCCATGGCGCTTTTCTGGATCACCGGTCAGGGAAATCCAGGCACCCGCAGGATTCCCTTCCGCCCTCACAGCCGCGCCTCCGCGCTTGGACGCTTGGATGCCATCCGGGAGCCATGGCAACGGGGATTCTATGGAGGCCGCAGGAGGTCAGGCGGCGCCGAGTTTCCTGACCCCCCCGCCCCCAAAGAGAAACCGGAAAAGACAGCGGAGGTGGGGCGCCACCGATCCGGAGCCAATCCTGCGCGCCTCGTCCCCACCTGTGGCTCTTTGGTCTGTTCCGAGCTCTTACTTCCTGTTGGGGTCTATCCGCTCCGTGGGTCCCTCCGGGTCTCTACCTATTCTCAGTCTCATTTGGCTGGTGCAGAGCCAGGACGGTTGCTTTTGGGCCCCTCTGAAGGGGAAACTCCCACACAGCGGGGGTCCCCCGGATTAGGCACAAGCCACACCCAAACACCTGTTTTCCCAGCCAGAGCCTTTATTAAACTGGGGAAGGAGAGTTAAAGCAGCTGCTTTCTGACTCCGGCATAAAAACAGTCACAAATGACCTTGCAGGTGTGATTCTTAAGAGACGAGAAAGAGGAGATCTGTGTTAGAATGGGTTTGGATGCCATATTGAAGGCGTTAGGAGACGGGGAAGGGGGCAGGGGGCAGGGGTATCTGTCCCCAAGGGACAAAGGGCAGCCTCTGGGTAGAGAGGAGACAGACTTGGCACATAGGCCAATGACGGTTTATAGAGGCAAAGGCGGAACCCCGTGTTAGGATGGGGTGTATAACTTAAACGGAATGTTAATTAGGTGAGCCAAAGGGGGCTCCTGATTGCTGCACTCAATACTTCATTAGCTGGATCTTGGCAGTCAGCCTCAGGAGGAGGAAGTGGCCAAATAAGGGAATAGACCTAGGTAGCCAGCTTTAGGAATGTCATCTAGCGGTTTTGAGCAAGGGGATGGAATGGTGGAGACACCCCCCCAAAAAAAACCAAAACAACAACAACAAATAAATAAAACAAGCGAAAACCTTGCGGAGCTTAAGTAAGACATCTGAGCTGACTTTTTTATAAATTATTGTTTAAGAACGTAAGACACATCTTTTTAAACAGGCTCAATATAGATTAGTTGTTATCGTTAAATTACAACCTTTTAAATCATAGCTCTATAGTCACTTCCTACAATTTTATTTTCTAAACATACCACCCACTGCCTTTGCCCACTTCCCCGCTGTTAGCATCGCATACCCTTTTCACTGTGAAACCTACAGGAGTCCCTTCCTCAAGGCATGCCTGGTGTCATCTCTGGCCACACTTCCCGAGAGTCCAGAGGCCTTAGGAAAAGTTGAGCAAGACTGACCCTGCATCCTCAGATGCTCAGACACATTTAACGTGTTACTACTTAGTGAACGGGTTTGTACACGCCATAATCGCAAGTATAAATACAGCTCTGCGTTTGCTTCAAAAATGCAATTTAAAAACAACACCACTTTCCAATTACAGGAAACCACTACAGTGCACCAGTGCACGGGGTTCTTAAGATTAGAAATGAGAAGTTAGAAGGGGCGAACGGTGAAACACGAGCACGAGCATGGGACCCAGCGCGGTGGAGCACGAGCCATGGAGAGCACAAGCCACAGAGAGCACATTAATCGTAGTTTATTACAGCGGTGGGAGAGGGGGAGGAGAGAAGAACGCGAAGAAGAGTGAGAGAAGACCGTGAGGAAAGAGTGAGATGAGAGAGGTAAGAGATAGGAGAGCGTAAGTGGGCAGGGGTCTGCCTTTTAAAGGGGTCCTTTGCACCCGCTTGCACGCTGGTTCTCACAGAACTCTGGGCTGGCCAAGGAACTGCCTGAGTGCATTCTGCCAGGTAACAGGGTAGGCCAGTGTAATGCCTGAATCTTTCACACGGTTTTTAATTTGTGTATTATGTTTGCATTTTGAAAGACTTACTGAGTACTGATAAGTGCAGAGAAATTTAAGACGTCAGGAGGTACCCATTCAGCGTTTGCTGTTGACCATTATCAGGTGTGGCCAGATATTGATGAGGAGGGCATGGATGAGGCGCAGACGGGAAAGTCAAAAGATGTGTCTTTAGAGAGGGGCAGGTGATGTTCATCAGTTTGGCCTTGAGTGGACTGTGCAGGGTTGGGCGTTGGACAGTAAATCCTGGGAGAGTGCATAAGAGATCATGCACCTCACTGACCAAGCCTAAAGAACTGGAGTGGTGGGATTTTAGGGGCCCCCTTAGGGGGAGAAGTTCCCTGAGGAGTTCCAAGGAGACGCCCAATGGCACTCAAAATATAAATTTAAGTGTCATGTATTACCTCTACAAATACCTCTAATTCTCATTTCCCTCCGGGGTTTTGTTGATTTATTTTGTTTTGTTTTGTTTTTTTCAGCAGAACAAAGTAGTGCAACGCTTAGCAGCTCTTCCATAAGACATATGATCCAAAAGTTCATGTTTATCTCTGCTTGGCACTGGACAGGTAACCCCACCTCTGAAAGCCACACCCTCCCCATTTTTACCCGAGGACAACACTAGCCATCATCTCTGGCTGTGCGTCTAAGCACTAAAGTCAGATACCCACAGAAACGAAGTGCCTAGAGCCTCAGGAGCTGCGGATTTACCTCTGCTTGAACTTAGGAGATCTGACGGCAGGCAGGGGGTTTGTGGAGAGTAAAAGGACCCAGTTTCTCAGAGAAAGGGGGCACTGGGGTACTTCAGGTAGAAAGGTAGTTGCTGGGATAGCAAAGGCATGTGGTCAGGCTCAATAGAAAGGATCTCAGGGCTGTGTAGAGCAGTGATTCTCAACCTTCCCAATGCCATGACCTACTAATAAAGCTCATGTTGTGATGACCCTCAACCATATTTTGTTACCACATCATAACTGTAACTTTGTAATTTATGAGTTGTAATGTAAATATCTGATATACAGGATATCCAATAGTAAGCCCTTGTGGGGGGGGTCACAACCCACTCCTCTGGCAGGTTCTCAGGAGCTTTTGTAATTCAAGTGTATGGTGTATTAGGGACTATTCTCTCCCTTACACCCACTCACTCTGCTCTTTACACTTTACCCTGAGACTATCTTGATGGGGGATGACCTTCTGTATACTATGAATATTCGTTTGTCTTGTTGGTTGATGAATAAAGCTGCTTCAGCCAATGGAAAGGCAGGATGGAGCCAGGAAAGAAGTATAGGCAGGGAGACCAGACTAGGAGCATTCTGGGAAGAGGAACACAGGGGGTGAGTTGCCAGAGGGACCTGGGCATCACTGCCAAGCCAAGACCACATGGAGATACACAGTTTAATAGAAATGGGTTAATAATTAAGAGAGAGCTAGCCATTAGGAAGCCTGAGCCATAGGCCAAACAGTTTATAATTAATATAAGCCTCTGTGTGTTTATTTGGGACTGAATGGCAATGGGATTGGGTGGAACAGAAACTTCTGTCTACACCATCTACTCGTCACAGAGGCTGATGTGTTTCGATTTTCTTTCGAGATTATACGTTGGAAGGTAATCTCCAATGCAAACAGCATTAAGAGGCATGGCCTTCAGAAGGTGAATGTACCATGAAAGTAGATGAAGTACATTCAGAACAATTTGACAGAAGCAGTTTCCTTCTTCTACCTCTTCCATGCTTCTCACATGAAAGGACACTTGATGTCCCCCCACTAGAGGACAACATATCACTTTGAAAGCAGAGGCATAGACCCTGTTGTTGCCTCAATCATGGATCATGAGTGATTAATACCTAGTCTCCGGTATTGTATTATAGAAGCACAAAGAGACATGGACTGGGCCTTGGAATTTTCCTGTGACCTTGAGTGTCTGCGAAACTGAATTATCCCATTGCTTCATTCATAAAGAGCCAAAGGCTGGAGCTTCTACCTTCGTTAAAATTCTAATGGCTAAAAATTCCTTCAATGTTTTAAGCATTTTTGTGCTCAACCTTGCACACATGCTTTGCTTTGGGATTGCTAACTCATTAATTCTTACAGAGGTCTTTGGGTTCAGGTCACGTTATTAATAACGTATAGTAGACAAGGAAGCAGAACCCCAGTGAGATTTTACTACTAGAAAAAGTGGGCCAGGATTTTGCATGCAAAACTGAATTCCACATTCCATCACATTCTAGACTGGAAGCTACTTGAGAGGGTTCTTTTCTTGATAGTTGATTTCTACCTTTGAGGTTTAGCTCTCTGTACAAGCACTGATACTTGAGTGCTTAATAAATATTCACTCAGTGAGTGAATAGATGAGTTCATGGTCCAGGCTGCCCAAAAGTTCAGTCATCTCCTGTGTAATAGCCACACTTTGTGACTGTGACAGAATCACCATCCAGGCATCCATGTGGGGTGGGGGGGCTAGCAAATGAGCTGAGAAGATCATCAGACAAGTTTCTCATCTTGGGAAAATTGCACCAAAACCTAGGGCAAGAGCTGTTCCCTGGGCAGGGTCTTGACAGATCTCCCACTAACCTGGTGCAACAGTTTTGAAACCAGGGGTATATTTGCTCTATTTTTATAGGTTAGGCCAGGCTGCTTATGCCCAGCCTTTCCTTAGCCAACATCCCAACATTGCATTTTCCATAAATGGGGGGCCCAAGAGGTATGAGGACATTGTGCAATGTGCTGTGATTGTTACAGAGTTTACCGACAACAGGGGGAATTGGGAAACTGCATGACAACTCCGAGTGAAGTCAAGTTCCCTTCTAAGTGAGCAAAGTGGTTCAAGATGCCTGGGGTGAGCTCTGCTTATGCAAACCCTGATTCATATAGACTCATTTCTTTGACTCATTTCTTTGACAACAGGGTGAGCAGTGTCCTCCATGCAAGCCACAGCGACATTTTGTGTATATAAAGTCAATGAAATAGATCTTGAGGAGAAATTTTGTTAAGATTTCGATAACAGCAAGATAGTCCTCCTGCTTCTTTGCTTTTTCCTTTGGGGCTGCATCAGTTTCAGAGACTCTGACCTAGAAAGATGCGCAGCTGTTATTCTCCATTGTTGCATACGATTTAGTGTTTTGATGCTGTGTAGCAAGCGCAGTAGCCATGGTTCCATTGTATTTGGTATTAATTTTCCTTCAGGAGGATTTCTTCACTGCAATGTCTCTTTCCTCACTATAAGTCCCTGA